TTTTCACGTCAACTTGTTAGGCACTACTTCTAAACTAAAATTGATCATAAAGGTTTTGTTTCTCTGTATTCTTTTAATCTACGTATAATAAGCCACAACAACCATGCCGCCAACAACTGAGTCCACTACGACCAGAGCGCCAACGACCGACGCTACCACAACCATGGCACCAACGACTGAGGCTACCACGACCATGGCACCAACGACTGAGGCCACTACAACCATGGCACCAACGACAGAAGCTACTACGACCATGAAACCGACAACTGAAGCTACCACAACCATGGCACCAACGACTGAGGCTACCACGACCATGGCACCAACGGCTGAGGCCACTACGACCATGGCACCAACGACAGAAGCTACTACGACTATGGAACCGACAACTGAAGCTACCACAACCATGGCACCAACGACTGAGGCTACCACGACCATGGCACCAACAACTGAGGCCACCATGACCGTGGCACCGACGACAGAAGCTACCACGACCATGGCACCGACGACAGAAGCTACCACGACTATGGCACCGACAACTGAAGCTACCACAACCATGGCACCAACGACTGAGGCTACCACGACCATGGCACCAACGACCGAGGCTACCACGACCATGGCACCAACGACTGAGGCCGCCACAACCATGGCACCAACGACGGAAGTTACCACAACCATGGAACCAACGACCGAAGCAACCACAACCATGGCGCCAACAACGGAGGCTACCACGACCATGGCACCAACAACAAAAGCTACCACGACAATGGCACCAACGACTGAAGCCACCACGACCATGGCATCGACGACTGAGATCACCACGACAATGGAACAAACCACAGAGGCGACCACGACCATGATACCCTCGACCCAAACTACGACAGCTCTCCCTTCAGTTGTAGCAGGTATATGGTGATTTGCCTATTTGTTTGTTTTTTTGTTTCTGGTCACGCTTATGATATCATTCTTACCTCTAACACGATCATAAAAATACATAAAAATGGTGGTGCGGCACACTGCAGACTCTGTCTTCAAAACATTTCATGCTTTTCCTTAAAATGTCAAGTCGAAGCTTTTGTCAAAGCTTAAGCAAAACCTTTTTGTGTGTTTTGAGTAACTAATCAGATAAATCTGCGAAGAAAGAGTCGATTACCAACAAGAGCACTTTCCTTCTTAAGTCAGTGCAGTCGTGGTCTATCAATACATAGCATTAGCTCTGTGTAATCCTAATTCAGTCTGATGGCTCTTACAATTTTGTGATTGATATTAAGAAAAATCGTCAAATCTATATTTTCACTTATGAAAAAGATGCCTGTCTGCAAGCTCATAATGACAAGCGTGCTCTTCACGGGGCAGCACCGCTGGTCTGGAATTCTACGCTGGCTCAACACGCGCAGGAATGGGCAGAATACTTGCGTTCAAATAATTCTTTTGAGCACGCACAGGATATTAACGAAGGGGAAAATCTGTACTGGAGGGCAGGACAAGTTCAAGCTACATGTGGAGATGCTGTGGAATCATGGTAAGTTGTTGCAAGATGACGCACCATTCAAAGCGCGCTGGAAAATCTTACAAGTAGTTAGTGAGGCTTAGATAACACAAGCACGCTGTCGCGACAGTAACAACCAGTAAAGTAATTCCCAACAACGATTTTTCACCAAACTTCTCAAAAATATTATTTCGATCCTTTGCTTTTTTTTTTCGTTTGCTATCTCTTCTAGAAAGAGGTAATTATACTCACACTGTTTATACGTTTAGGCAGAGTATTCGCTGAATAAGAATGTGTTCAGAGCTCTATGCTGTCGTTCGTTGCACTGCTACCCCTGTTAACTTATTTTTCCAATCTACTCGTAGGTACAGTGAGGTGGACCTCTATGACTTTCAGAACCCACCAATAACGCCCCAGGAATTTTTCGACCAGGGAGCTGGTCACTTCACACAGGTTTCTATCTCAAAGTTTCAAAAAGAAATAAGTACTTTTATCATATCCCTCAGTTAATACCTGCGCTATGATTGGTAAATTTAGCGAGCCGCTTTTCACTGTGCAGCCCCAATAAATTGAAAAAAGATTTGTTTTAGTTGGTATCTTTTTTCTTCCTGTTTGAACCCATGAAATATGACCAGTGACAATTTAACCTCGTTTTCTCGGTCCGTACTGTAAATTACAGGACCTGTTGCGCGCTTCGCGCCTGGGAATTAATGAGTCCGTGGGGTCGACCTTCTGGCCTGAAGAAGACTCGCAAGATGCAGTCGAAACATTCCGATTCACAATGGAAGAGATAAAATCATGAGACAAACGATCACACCTCGTATACAAGTGCATTTATCACTGACCAACCGCGGCCTTTCTTGATATAAGCTTTGATATAAGCTTGATTTATGCTATATTTTCTCTTCTCTGAAACAAATTGGAAGAATTAAATGAACCAAGCTCTTCTGTGAAGGTTTTCAGTAATGACTCAGTCCTGATGACAATGATAACAAATAAAAAATAAAGTAGATATGGAAATGTTTAAAAAATTTATGATAATCATTTCGAAATGATAGCTACGTACCAAAAGAGGGGTACTCTATCAAAGACACCCTTATTTATAGCTTTTGGTATTGATAGTTTGATGTAAATAGCAGTGACTCCCATTTTTCATTTTATTTTTTAATGATGACATGTGATTTCTTTGCTCGTTTGTTTCGTTTCTTTTTTTTAGGTTGTTTGGAATGGGACCACAAGTGTTGGAGCGGGTCTTGCCACAACAGGACCAGATATGTCGGGCCAAATTCAAACCTATATAGTGGCTCGTTATTATCCACAGGGAAACATCCTTGGACAATTTAGTGAGAATGTNTACAATGAGAGGCAAATATAATTGGCACTCTTCTCTAACCAGGTAGTCGACAACCCTCCACTCAACACAAAGAATAGAAATCTTGCATTTAATCTTTAATGACTCACTTGAAGGTCCCCACTCCTCCTCTTCCCAAGCTAAGTTGTCTGAAATTAGAGAAAATTTTATCAACATCAGGCAACATTGGAATGGGGGAAGAGAGGGACATAAATGATGGTTGTAGAAAAAATTCAACAAGAAGTGGAACGTGGTAAAACTTGTGCAACTCTTGTACTGATAAGGGAGATGGGAGGTGGGAAATGGCGAAAGATCAACTATATTTCCCTACAAGTGATCAGTAAAAAAAAGAAATCTAGATTTCTACGTTTTTTCACAACGTTTTTTTTGTCATGTACGTGTGATCATGGGTAAATGCAGGCGACAAAATCAATTTAGAACATTTTACGTGGTTTTAGTTTTTTTTTACAACATCAAGACAAATGTTGAAATATTTTTTTTATTTTCTTGTCTTTTCAGAATATGAAAGCTGCCCAAAGCAGTAGGCTGTTATGATTGCACTCTCGACTCGTGGCACGAAGGATAAAGAAAGCTTCTTATAGGAAATTCGTATCTCTTTTCCAATTTCACCTCAACTCAGTGAAATGTTAAGTCCCACAATGACACAGTGATTTCTTTACGATATTTCAAAATGCTTAAGCTGTGGTACCTCTAGTAATAAATTATCAAGTTTTGTTAAACATGTTTTCAATGATAGGGCAGGAATAATTAAATAAAAGTTTTGATCGATTAGAAGATACATCTCTTTGTATTCTGCAAGAAAATAAATAAACTTAGCCATGTCGTTCTTCCTCTTCTCTAGTAAACTTGCTTGTTTCATACACAATTCCTAATTCTATACGCATTCTGATTGGTCCTATCCCATGATCTATGAAATATCTACCAAATATCATTGACCCATTTGCACATATCACGTGCCATACATCATTGCCCCCTTGCACACACCACCTACCATCAGTATCATTGACTCACTTGCACACATCACGTGCCATAAATCATTGACTCACTTGCATACATCACGTGCCATATATCATTGACTCTCTTGCACACATCACGCACCATGTATCATTGACTTACATGCACACATCACATACCATACATCAGTGACTCACTTGCACACATACACCAACCAAATATCATTGACCCACTTGCACATATCACTTGCCATACATCATTCAATCACATGCACACACCACCTACCGTATATCATTGACTCACTTGCCGTAAATCATTGACTCACTTGTATACATCACGTGCCAAATATCATTGACTCACATCACGTGCTATATATCATTGACTCACTTGCACACAACACGTGCCCTATATCATAAACTCACTTGCATACATCACGCACCATATTTCATTGACTTACTTGCACACATCACATACCATACATCAGTGTCTCACACACATCACGCACCATACATACACCAGTGACTCACTTGCACAAATTACGCAATTACACATCACTCATCAATGCCATCACACGCTTGTGACCCTTCTGCAATGTTCTCAGTTGCTCTTACTTACTTTTTCGGTCATCTGTAATATTGTACAGGTACATGGCAGCTTGAAATCCAACGAAAATCTTTTTAAGGAGTTTAAATTGCACTCAAATCTTAACCCTTTACGCCTTATTATCAATTTGAAGGTTCTCCATACTGTTCTCTACACGTTTCCTGTGGTATTTACAAGGAGAATTTGTTTAATAGTCAAGAGCGTCTGGACTGCGCGATCATTTCCTTTGTTCTCATGACTTTCATGTTTGATTCAGGTTTCATATTGAAATGAGAAATTAGATGGTTATCGAGGGGCGGATCCAGGCTTAAGCCAAGGGGGGTTCGGAGAATTGTCCGAGGGCATGCTCCCCCGGGAGATTTTGAAAATTAGGTCTTTGGAAACATGATTTCCAGCATTTTTAGGGAAAATTTAGGGGGTTCAATCGAAGCACCCGAACTACCCCTGGATCCGTCCCAGTTATCACTCACAGGGTTTAAAGTGTCAACTTGACAAATAAAGTATACGATTTCTATCGCGTGATAGTTGAAGAGTTCTGTCCTTGGTCGATTGATATAAATTTATGTATATAAATACTAAATATTAAAGTAAAAGGCAGCTCTAACTCTCAACTTTCAATGCGGCACGTTTTAAGAGTAACGAAAGCAGTGACCCGCCTGAATGTAAACTCGACTCGAAGGAGTGCTATTCCAATTTCTGTCATTACGGTGTAAAACAGTTCTCGAAAAAAGAAAGAAATACCGTCCCCTCAGAAATTTATAACTGTTTCTCTTTGGCCCTAAGAGTTTGGAGAGATATATACAGGAGACATACGTATGTTTATGGTATATCATTCACGGATGACATAAGGAAATAACAAACGAGATAGAGTGAAGTTTGAATAGTTTTCATTTGGTACTAGTTCATGATGAACTACGTAAAAAAGCTTTTAAAAAAGCTATCTTATTAACTTCATTGGAAAATGCTGGAGAAATTCACCCATCTAATTTCATTCCCTTTTTAAAGATAGCGACTATCATTTGCTGGAGAAAGAAACGTTTGGAGGCACTAGCAACCCCAGCGTGTCTTGGCAACACAAGCTGAGGGTGTGGAGAGATCTAGTAACCAGCGGTCTTTTCAGTGGGAAAAATACCTCTATTTTGAGACAATGCGAAATGTGCACAAGAAACACTCGTCACATCAAAACATGGCGGCGGATCACAATGCCTACTCTCCCAGTTCAAGAGCACCGTCTACCTTTCATCAAAGAAGCCATTCTCGGTCAGCTTCATGGTCATACACTTCAGGGAATGGACAAATCACTCTCGCGCCTTTGAACCCAATCAGGTCTGTTATTCGAGAGTTTGTACCCAGTTTCGGTCATCGCAGTCCAGGATCTCGATCGTCTGCTAGTTCACCCCTCTCTCCTCTGTCTCCCTCATCTTACGTGAACATAGCAGAGGTTCTTAGAGACGCGAATGATGAAGAAGACACAGGAACGAACAGGATGTCCAATTTCACCGCTGTTAACATAAATTCTGGCAATTCGAGTGAAGCAGACGCTGAACATGGCGATGCAAACATGGCGCCGGGAAACTCCAATTCTTCTGGTAACGGCAGTGGCCGTGCTGCAGGCGACAGAGTAGAATTTCAAGGAACAATTTCGTGGTTGGAAAAAAGCCTTCCGTTTGTGCTTTTACTTCTGAGTAGAATCATGTGGGATCATCGACTAGGTTGGTGATTTAGACTTTTTTGTTATTCTGTTGCATCAAGTGGTGTATTGAATTTTCTTTGCGTATCGAATTTTGGTTACTGACATAATCAGAAAATGTCTTGAAAGGTGTTAATCGTTGGTTTCTCTAATTGAAGGTATTCTGGTGTTCATCGGCTTATGTGGGACATTTCTTCATGCCAATAGCACTGTCAAAAGACAAGTGTCTTTGAAGGTAAAGCCTGAAAATAAACGTATAGCTTTCGTTTTTAATTTTAACTTCAGTCATTGACTTAGCCGTGTTATCGGCAGATTTATTTAGGGTTCAGTACAGTTACTACAATTATCATTTGGGTGAGGGGCAAGTAAGTTCGGTGACAGAGTTTTGACCATAAAATCAATATGTTTTCACGGGCAACCTTCCTCTTTTCCTATCGTAACCAAATCTCAAGAATGGCTCCTTACTCGAATGGAAATCGTTGTACTTTGGTGACTGGGAGTCATCAAGGTTTGTTGTGTTTGTTGTTTGTATA